ACATGGGAGTTTTTGGTCCTCGGGACCTGGGTGATTGTGATCTCTTCAAATGATGATTGAAGTTCTTTAGCTAAGTTTAGATACAAAGTCATCTTGGCGTCCTGTGCATGATAGGAACCTTGGATTTGATTCACCACTAGCTGTGAGTCGGATTTCACTTCTATTTTTTTTATCCCTATTTCTTTGGCGAGTGAGAGCCTAGCAATCAGTGCCTCATATTTGGCCTCGTTGTTGGTTGCTTTGAAGTCGCATCGTATGGCTTGTTGCAAAGTATCCCCTTTTGAGGAGATGAGAAGCAATCCAAGTCCGCTGCCATTGATGTTGCTTGAGCCATCCACATATAGGGTCCACTTGGTGGATGCATGATTTGTCAGACATAGGAGCTCATTCTCCGCCTGAACAGAAGTGTTGCGTGTGAAGTCAGCAATGAAGTTAGCTAGGACTTGAGATTTGATCATAGTGCGGGGTTGGAAAGAGATATCAAACTTGCTCAGTTATACTACCCATTAGACAAGCCGACCTGAGAGATTTGGCTTGTGGAGTACTTTTTTCATAGGGTAGGAGGTCAGGATTATGATCGGGTGGCATTGGAAGTACGGTCGCAACTTCCGTGCGGTTGTGATCAAGGCAAGAGCCAATTTCTCAAGTTGGTTGTACCGAGTCTTGGCTTCGAGCAAGGACTTGCTGGTGTAGTAAACTGGTAGTTGCTTTCCTTCTTCCTCTCAGATCAGCACGACAGATGTGGCAAAGTCAGATACCACCAAGTATGTGAAGAGTTGCTCCCCCGTCTTTGGCTTGGATAGTAATGGAGGTGACGTTAAGTACCATTTCAATTGGATCAATGCCTCTTTGCATGTTGGAGTCCATTCAAATTTCTTTGATTTCCTGAGGGCAGCGAAAAAGAGGTGGTTTTTCTCTGCTGACTTGGAGATGAACCGACTGAGAGCGGCTATCCTTCTTGTGAGACGTTGCACATCTTTTATGCTAGTTGGAGATAGGATGCCCAGGGCCGCCCTGATCTAATCTAGATTGGCCTCGATGCCATGTTGCGTGACCATATATCCTAGAAACTTTCCTAAGGACACACCGAACCAGCACTTAACCAAATTTAACTTCATATTGTACTTCTGCAGCACCTCGAAGGATTACCGCAGGTGGTCGAGATGCTGCTCAGCTATTACTGACTTTACCAGCATATCGTCGATGTAGACTTCCATAGAGTCTCCTAGCAGGTTACAGAACATTTTGTTCATGAGTCGTTGGTAGGTGGCTCCAGCATTCTTCAGGCCAAGTTGCATCACTTTGTAGCAGTAGGTGCCTCGTTCGGTGATGAATGCAGTCTTTTCTTGGCCGTCTAAGTGCATCAGTATCCAGTTCTAGATAGTGATGAATGCAGTCTTTTCTTGGCCGTCTAAGTGCATCAGTATCCAGTTCTAGATAGAGAAGGCGTCCATGAAGTTGAGTAGTTCATGCCCAGCATTGACATCCACTAGCATGTCTATGTAAATGAGTGAGAAGGAGTCCTTGGGACAGGCTTTGTTCAGGTTGGTGAAATCGATACAAACTCTCCACTTGTCGTTCTTCTTCTTCACTATCACCATGTTCGCCAACCAATCTGGGTATTGAACCTCTCGAACTGAGTAGTTGCTAAGTAGTTTCTCATCCTCCTCGTTGATCACCTTGTTTCTCTCTGGGGCGAATCTTCTGCTCTTTTGTCTCACGAGAGGGAAGTCTGGGTCAGCATTTAGTTGGTGCATTATAGCTTCTGGGTTATTCCCAGTCATGTCGGAGGTTTGGGACCAAGCGAAGCAATCTTGGTTCTCCATTAGGAAGTCAATAAGCTTTCTTCGGATATTGGGTGAGAGCTAAGCTCCCATTTGTGTCCTTCGATCCAGAAACTCTGGGTGAATTTGGACCTCATCCAACTTTTCCATTGCTGGTTTGTCTGGATCTACTCTTCCAGTTGGAGGTGTCTGTAGTTGCTACATGGTGCCGTTGTTCAGCTTGAAGGCATTTTGATAACAATCTCTAGAGGCCTTCTAATCTCCTTTAATCTCTTTGATGCCCTACTTGGTGGGAAATCTAATTGTTTGGTGGAAATTTGAGGGAATGGCCAGAATGCTATGAATCCATAGGTGGTTTACTGATTAATTCCTTTGGCATAGACCGGCAGAGCAATCTCCCCGATGGTGTATTTTTACTTTGAGCTAAACCCTACAAGGAGAGTTGGGCGGCGGGTGATGCTAGACTCATCTAACCCCATCGACTTAAATGCTTCCAGAAACAAGATATTTGCTAAGGAGCTGGGGTCTACCAAGATTCTTCTGACAGTGATGTTGACAATCTGAAGGGTGATTATGAGTGCGTCATGATGGGGATTCAAAAGTGTTGTTGCCTCGTTATCCATGAATTCTATGGTTAGGTTAGTGGTTCTGTATTGTGTCGGCTTTGAGTGTTATAACTGTGTGTTAGCTGCGGTTCGGGCATGACACTTCGTCGAGGAGTAGCTTACCCCACTAACTTTTTATCCGCCCAAGATAACTCCACACATTCCATCTGTGTGATCCCTGTTCGTCATTGTGCTCTTCCCCTTGTCTGTCAAGAACTCACGGAGATGTCCACTTTTTAGTAGCTCAGCTACTTCGAGGTAGAATGCAATGCAATTGACAGTGTTATGGCCGTGGTCTCCATGGAATTCACACCATTTGGTGGTGTCCCGCTTTACTCCAAGGTGTTTCAATTTGCCTGGCCATCTTACCACATTCCCCATCTCCTTCATCACGGCTACCACTTCTATTGGCTCTATATTGAGGTTGCAGTCGGGCAGCTTATGCTTGGGTGGTGTGTTGTGGTCGCCGTGCCAAGCCAGGGGGCGATCTAGTCGACACCTGTTGTCTCGTACAAGAACTCTCCTTATTGAATAGGGCTCCATTGGCTTGGTGTCATGAAGCTTATCGAGGCATCATGAGCGACGATCATCGTTGGCGCTTTGCTTGGCTCTATGAGCTTCGTCTTCCTCCCACCTAATCTCAACCTAAGCATGGGCCAATAAGTCATCCATGGTGTTGCAATTAAACTTGGTAAGTTCCTTGTACAACTCTCCATTTGGGAGTAGGCCTTTCCTGAAGGCATCAACTGCGGTCTCTTGGTTGCAGTGCGGGATTGAGACTTTTTCACGGTTGAAACGTCCTACATAGTCGCGGAGGGGCTCATTGCGGTGCTGTTGAATCTGGTAAAGGTTGCCAGATAACTTTTCTTGTTTTTTGCTGCTAGCAAATTGCTCCACGAAGGTGTCTGTGAGCTAGGCGAATGAGGCGAATGAGTGATTGGAGAGGTTGGCGTACCATTAGAGTGCGAGTCCTATTAGGCTAGAGCCAAAGCTTTTGCACATGCATGCCTCCCGAAGATCTTTTGGTATGGCGGCGACAAAAATTCTCTGTTTGTAGGAGGCTATATGGTCATCCGGGTCGGTGCTACCATCGTACAACTTCATGTTGGGGAAGGTGAATTTGTGGGGCATGTCTGCAAGAGCAATGGCATCCACGAATGGTGACTCGGCATAGCCTTGGGGTTGACTTTTTCTTAGGGATGTTGGCATCCCTGGGATGCATTAAGATCAAGGCTTCCATTTCGGCTAATCGTTTGGTCAGTGTTTGCTCAAGGGTGGTTGGTGCAGGGGTATTGAGGGAACACCCTTGGGTTGATGTGAATGGCCATGCCGAACAGTATGGCTTGGGGAGTTGTTCCGATTAGTGATTGCATAGGATGTGTTTGTTGGTGTGTAAAGGGGGTGCTCAATTGCTGGGATGGCATGGTTCAGGTTTTTGTGTCGGCAATGGGGTTGGTAGAGGGGTGGACATTATCTTCTTGGGTCGGCTCGGCCACAACTGTGGTGGTGTTTGGGTCTCTGTTGGTGTAGGTACCAGTAAGGGTGCCACTATTTGGGCTTAAGAACAATTGCCTGGGTTGAATGGGGGGCCGGGAGGTGGATGCATGATGCTGGTCGAATGACGAATCTAGAGAGTAAAATTGGTTTACCTTATCCTGGAGAGCTTGATTTTCGACGCGGATCACGACATTCTATTCTTCTAGGGCTTGGTACTTGTTGTTGCTTTCTTGCACCAACACGGTGAGTGCTTCGATCTGAGCCACAACGTTTGGTGCATTGCTTTCTATGTGGTTGGTCATGAGGGCCTAACGAGAGAGAGAGAGAGGTTGAATCAATAGGTCGTATTAGATCGTTTGGCTGGCAGGGCCCCACGGTGGGTGCCAAATTGTAAACGCTAAAATTTACAATTGAATGAAAGACAAAATCTTGTGGGGCGAGCCACTAACAACCTAGATGGACTTGCGGAGGGTAACTCGGAGGTTGGGGGGAGCTTTAGCAGTGTAGGGAAGTTGAAGTAGATGGTGGGATTGACAGTACGAGAGTTGGAGCTTCGGGGAGATCCTTGATGAGAGGGTTTGCCTCCCTTTATATAGTAAACCCATGGGGCTGGAATCCTAGTAGGACTCTGAATCCTACTTAGTAGGGGAGTTCCAATTTGGGTTGGATACTGGATCCTACAAGAAATGGAAATTGGGTGGGATTCTGATCTCTTTGTGGACTGCTATGGGCGAATGGGCCAGACCTAGTTCAGCTTAACTCGGGAGGTGGCCCAACTTATAGAGCAGGCAGTTCCCAAGGTATTCTAAGTGTGGGCCCAGTCGGGATTGGGCCAAGACTCTGGGCCGTCACATATCATCGTTCCGATTGGACCTCGTCAGACCCAATACGAATTTTGGCCCAGTTATTGCGTGAACATGATTTGAAAAATGACAAAAAACACTCTTATATTTGCTAATTTAGCTAAACACCTCCTATAATAAAACATTGAAAATTAACAAAAACACTCTAATATATTAACAAGAGTGTACAAAGAAATTTTTTTTTTTCATAAAGGTTAAAGAAATTTTTATAAGCTTTACTCTAACAAGTTTTTCTCAAAAAATCTGTCCTCCTAAATTCCATCATCATCATAATCTAAAAAAGGAAGTGTATTTAAAATAATAATAATAATAATAAAAATAAAAAACATAATGTTTAAAAGGAAGAAACGAAAATAAAGTTTACCTGGCCATGCCGTACTCTTAAAGAGCCTCCAACTCTCTTCTTCACTTAAATTGTCAATCTGGAAAATTCTTGAACCCATGTTCAGCAACACATCTCGTTCTCTTGTTGTCAGCAATAATTTACACCTCCCGTTATCATCTCCATCAGGAATTCCTATAGTCTTCAAATCAATAGCTTCCCAAAGATTATCTAATATGATTAGGATCTTCTTCTCCTTGTTATTCAATCGTGCATACAACTTACTCGCTTTTTCAGTCTCGGTATCAAATTTCAGTCCTAACTGCTGAGCGACTTCTTCTTGAATCCTTTCAGTGCTGGGATTCTGAGGTACCTCTACCAAAACCACCTCATCGAAGAGCTGCTTTTTCTTGGCTTGGTTACCAATTTCTTTCACCAGCGTGGTCTTACCAATGCCGCCCATCCCATAAATCCCAATTGTTTTCCTCTCATCATCGTTTAATGCCGTCAATACATCATTCAAAATGGCGTTTCTTGATTCAAATGCCTTGTAATCGTTGTTAATCAACCGTCTGTCTTCAATAATAGTTGGAAGGGAAACTTCACCGAATGTTGCTTTGTCCTTGAGGAGTTCACTTAGAGCCTCCACCTGTTTCGATGCTTTCCTCCCATTTTTGTAGGAGGTCATCAAGTTGAAACATCGGTAGCTGGTTTCTTTCTTTCGAATCAACTTCTCTGCTTCATCAATGGTGGAATTCACATTCTCCTGCCAATCCTTAACACTATGTTTGATCTTTTCCACATTTTTTACAGCAGCATCAACCTTATCCTTCACTTCGTCTCTTGCATCCTTCAGCTTCGTAACTTCTTTTTTCATTTTCTCAAAGTTGCTCCGGTAGTTGTACAAGTACATAAATTGACGCCCAATGGGAGAAGCCAAGGACTTGCCAACTTCTAAAACAGCGGTCACGACAGTTTCGACCATTTTCAACTTTTTTTTTTTTTTTTTTTAAAGTTCCAAAACTATGATAGAAAGAAAGCAAATGAAAATAAAAGAGAGACAGTAACAGGATAACCAGTGCGCAAAATCAAGCAACGGAACAACGAGGACAAATGCTGAAAATAACAAAACAGAATAAGTGAAGGGGGGAGAATTTTTTTTTTTTTCAAAGAGAAATGAGGAAATGGAAGAGTTTTTTTTTTTTTTTTTAGGCACCAAAAAGAAGACCACTGAAGAGATGAGAAAGAAGAAATTCAACTGAAAAGAAGAAGAAGAGATTAATAATCGATGGCAGTAAGACGCAGAGAAACAGTGAAGACAATGAAACAATAGGCAAGTGTTTCTTGATTCACAATGAATGCAGAGAATTGGATGGCTGAATGGCGTTTCTTGATTCTTGATTCACTGAAGAGATGAGAAAGAAGAAATTCAACTGAAAAGAAGAAGAAGAGTTTTTTGAAAAAAGTGAACGTATCAACTACCAAAAAGAATCAAAACATTGAAAGCCGAACCCACAGAACTTGCACGAAAATCATTTAACCATGGGCTTCACCCAATTATACAGGTAGCCCCATTTTTTACGGACCTTAAAAAATTCGGTCAAAAAAGTGCTTCAAGGGTAGATGGCTCTATTTGGTTCACTTTTATACACTTTTTAGAAAATGTTTTTAAAAAACGTTAAAAAATGTTGAATTGGACATATATTACGATGTAGAATTTGAAAATTAATAAAAATATCTCTTATATTTATTTATTTATTAAACACCCCTATAATAAAACATTAAAAGACACCTCCAATCTACCCATTAAATACGGACAGCCGGCCACCACCACCGGAGGGTGGCCAGAGTCGCCGTATCGATGCATGACCGACTGGATCTTGCCGATCGTGCGTCGCTATGGCCTTTTCCGACCAGATCTACGACTAGATCTGGCTATTGATGGCCATATCTGGCCGCATTTGCTCGTCAATGATGGCCAAAGGTACGACCGTCGTTGATGGTCAACGACAACCATATGTTGGCCGTTGTTGACGACTGGCTACGACCAAAGGTTTGGCTGTCAACGGCCAGATCTTTGGCCTTAGATCTGGCCTTTTCCAGCTAGATCCACCATGGATCTGGCCAGAAAAGGCTAGATCAGCGCACTACCGGCCAGATTCAGCCGGTAGTGTGCCATTAGGCCATCTTCCGGCAGTGGTGGCCAGAATCTGGTAAATGTGGATTGCTTGGGTGTTTTTGAAATTTAAAAAAAAAATATTTAGAGGCATTTAATTAAATTAACAAATTTAGGGGGTTTAAAAAAAATTGAATAATATTGTGAGTTTTTGCAATTTTACTGTTTAACTTTATTGGGAATACTAATAGTAGTATTCCCAAAAGTGAGCCAAACAAAGCCGATATCTTTCTTCAAACCAAGTTACCCAACAACGATTTCCTTTACTTTAAATCATAATAAGCCGCGTTTCAGGTACTGACCTCCCACTGGGTTGAAAATTCAACCCTTACCCTTATTTTCTTAGTAAAAGTCTGGTAACATATATGGTGCATTTAATTCAGAGAATGTTATATTACGGTAAATATTATATTAATGAAAAGATATATTACTTTAAAGATTATTGGAAATGTTATATAAAATATATTTGATTAGATTGTAATAAATTGGTAGGTATGTTATAGTGATATGTTTAGTTTGAATGAATAAATTAGTAGATATATTATATAGATTACTCAATTATCATTCTTTATTATTATTATTATTTGAACTATTTTTTTAACCCCCTACATTTGAGATTTTGTTAAAACACCCCAACCATAATAAAAGTTAAAATATTGACAAAATCACCCCCACCTACCCACCCACTCCCCAAGCCACTATTGGCCACCGGTTGTTGTTGCCGACAGTGGCCTGGACGGTGCACGATCGATCAAATATGGCGTGGCATGCGCCGATCTAGCCGTTTTTTATTAGATCGATGGCCAAAAATGGACAGATCAATTCTAGTCATTTTTTGCCAGATCCATGACCATCTAAACATTTTCGACCATCGATCTGGGCGGAAACATCCAAATCAACGCACGATCGACAAGATACGACTGATGGTGGTGGCCGATAGTCCTTTTGGGTGGCTAGGGTGTTATGGCAAGGTTCATGCAAATTGTTTTCAAAATAGGGTTTTACTATCCAAAAATTTTATTACTTAGGGGTAAAATTGTAATGGCAGGATTCATGTAAATTGTTTTTAAAACAAGGGCATTATAGTTCAAAATTTTTATTAATTAGAGTGCGTTTGGATTAGGGAAATATAAGATAATAGGGGTAATCTGTGTTTATTTTACAAGATTCTGTTGTTTGGTTTGCAAGTAATGAAATATTACAGGTATCTTTTATTGCAAATAGGGGCTATTTAGATCGAGATATATAAGATAGCGAGAGTAATCTTCGTTTATTTTGCAAGATTCTGGTGTTTGGTTTGCAAGTAATAAAATATTACGATAATCTTTTATTGCAAATAGTGTTTACTGTTGGTAATGTAGGGGGTAATCTTATTACCTTGTTAAAGGGTGTTATTAAAATATTACCAGGGTAATCTGATTTTTTCAACCCATTTTGCCCTTAGCTAAAACCATTTTGGACACAATTGCCCTCAGATGTCTACCAAATAACAATTACCCAGCCCCCCTACATTTGAGAAATTAGCTCAAACACCCTAGCCATAAAAGGTTTACAAGTTAACAAAATACCCCCAACCACCCAAGACCACCATCGGCAGTGACTCACCACCATCGGTCGTCGATGTCAGTTTTTGTAATGGTGCATGACCAGTGGTATCTAGCCGGTCGTGCACCGGTAAGGCATTTTCTAGCCATGGATCCGTGATCCATGACCAGAAACGACCAGATCTGGCATTTCTATGGACGTTTTACGGCCAAAGATGTGGTCATGAAACGGCCACAGATCTGGCCGTGAAATGGCCATAGATCTGGCCGTTTTTCGGCCACAGATTTGTGATCCATGGCCATNGGTATCTTTTATTGCAAATAGGGGCTATTTAGATCGAGGTATATAAGATAGCGAGAGTAATCTTCGTTTATTTTGCAAGATTCTGGTGTTTGGTTTGCAAGTAATAAAATATTATGATAATCTTTTATTGCAAATAGTGTTTACTGTTGGTAATGTGGAGGGCAATCTTATTACCTTGTTAAAAGGTGTTATTAAAATATTACCAGGGTAATCTGATTTTTTCAACCCATTTTGCCCTTAGCTAAAACCATTTTGGACACAATTGCCCTCAAATGTCTACCAAATAACAATTACCCAGCCCCCCTACATTTGAGAAATTAGCTAAAACACCCTAGCCATAAAAGGTTTACAAGTTAACAAAATACCCCCAACCACTCAAGACCACTGTCGGCAGTGACTCACCACCATCGGTCGCCGATGTCAGTTTTCGTAATGGTGCATGACCAGTGGTATCTAGCCGGTCGTGCACCGGTAAGGCATTTTCTAGCCATGGATCCGTGATCCATGACCAGAAACGACCAAATCTGGCATTTCTATGGACGTTTTACGGTCAAAGATGTGGTCATGAAACGGCCACAGATCTGGCCGTGAAATGGCCATAGATCTGGCTGTTTTTCGGCCACAGATTTGTGATCCATGACCCATTTTCGGCTTTGCCGACGCACAGTCGGCCATATATGGCTAGTCGTGCGCCATTCCATCCACTACTGGCGATGACCAGTGGTGGTGGCTGGCTACTGGTAGTGGCTTGGGGTGAGTGGGGGTGACTTTGCTACAAATTAAAGTTTTATATGGCTGGGGTGTTTTAGCAAAATTTCAAAAGTAGGGTGTTAAAAGAAATGATTCAAAAAATAATAATAAAAAATACTATTATATTAATATTTAAAAAGGAGGGCAATTTAGTAATCTATATAATATACCCACCCATTTATCCTCCCAACAAACATATTATTCACTAATTTATTCGAACCAACCAAATATATTTTCTAAACATTCCCAGTAATCTTCAAAGTGATCTTTCTTTCCGTTAATATAATATACTCTTATAATAAAACATTATATGAACCAAACGCCTCTATAGTGTTTACTGTTGGCAGTGTAGGGGGTAATCAGATACCCTCCATAGGGGCTGTTATTAAAAGATTACTGGGTAATCTGATTTTTATACCTATTTTTCCCTTAATTAAATATCATTTTAGACACAATTGCCCTCAAATGTCTACCAAATAATGATTTTCCAACCCCCCTACATTTGAGAAATTAGCTAAAACACCCCGGCCACAAAAAAATTTAAAAGTTAACAAAAATACCCCCAGCCACCCAATACCACCGCCAGTCGTCAGCTACGGTCGTCATAATGGTGCACGATCGGCAGGATCTGGTTGGTCGTGCATCGTTAACGCCTTTTCTAGCCATGGATCGCACGACCAGATCTGGCCATTTCTATGGCCGTTTCACGACCAAAGATATGGCCTTTTCACGACCACATCTTTGGTTGTGAAACCACCATGGATCTATAATCCATGGCCGAAAATGGCTTTGCCGATGCATAGCCGACCATATATGGCCAGTCATGCACCATTTCATCGTCTGTCGATGGTGACTAGTGGTGGTGGCTAGTTGTCAGCAGTAGCTTCGGGTGGGTTGGGGTATTTTGCTACAAATTAAAGTTTTATATGGTTGGGGTGTTTTAGTAAAATTTCAAACGTAGGGGGTTAAAAAAATTATTAAAAAATAATATTATATTAATATTTAAAAAGGAGGGCAATTTAGTAATCTATATAACATACTCACTCATTTATCCTCCCAACCAAACATATTAGTCACCAATTTATTTGAACCAACTAAATATATTTCCTAAATATTTCCAGTAATCTTTAAGGTGATCTATCTTTCCTTTAATATAACATCCCCTTATAAGAAAACATTATATGATCCAAATTCCCCCTTGGGGATAAAAT